CAGCTAAGGTTTCAGGTACCTGCACTACTAAAATACCCAAGAAGTTCTGTTGCTGTGGACTTTGTTTTCCAAGGGATAATCAGTGGTAGGTAGATTCCCATGTGTGACACTCCAGGTATTGCTTTGTCTTTATCACAGAACTCATTTGAGCTCTTACTGGACCCAAGCTCCATCCTTTTAACCTTGCACATGTGCAGCCTTGATGGTTCTGCCAAATGACTAAACCTTGAGCTATCTGGGAATTTCTCTTTACTGATGAAAAGCTCTGCTTGGGCAGAAGGGAGAGGAGGGAAAAAACCAACCACAAAACCCAACAAAAAATTCCACAAGACCAAAAAAATCCACCAAGACCAGTTTTTCCACAAAAATCTTTTACTTTCATTTGTCTGACCAGAAAAAAATACTTCACTTTAAGTTTCATTTAGTGTTGAACCAATGGAAAGCAAAAAACGTGGCTCCTTTTGCAGCAGTGTGGATGCAAGTTGTACTTTCGGCCTTTTATTCTCTCTGTTGGACTGTTCCTCACCTCCTTTTGAGTTATTTGCAATTTTGAGAGCTTGCAGAGAGCAACATCTGTAATGGCTGAGGCCTTTGAGGTGCATTAATGCTGACTTTTTACTTAAAATTTCCAGCCAATAATTTAAAAGCAAAAAAATGCCAAGACACATTATTTAATTAACTCACCAGCTGTCTCCTGTTCTTCTTCCATGTTTCTGCTTTCCTCTTGGAGTTCATATTCTGAAATGCTAATTTACCAAATAGATATTAGATGCATTTGTGAGACTGAAGAAAGAAAATATAATGCTCTGTTTTTTAAAGAATGACTATTTTGTGTGTTTAAAATCCTTTGGTCTAGCAACAAATACTCGATTGTAATTCAAAGTGGGAACATGAGAATAACTACTGTTCAACCAGGTCCCATGAGCAGCAATTCTAGATGTGAATTAGTGTTCAACTCATGCTGAACAACTTGAGCTCCCATGAAAGGCTTCACGAGGTTGTCCCTGGCTGCAGCCTGCTGGCACATGAAATCCATGTCCCTCCTCAAACAGCATTTCTGTAACTTCACTAACATTATGACAAACACATCAGAATAGAGATACATCACATGATGTGTATTCACATCTATGTATGACTCTGCAAACACACATGAGCACTGTAGAAACATTCTTTTCTTTCCTGTTCAATTCCATGTCCCAGGGAACAAGCATTTCCAGTTTTCCAATGAAATGCAATCAGCTTGCCCCATCTTGCCTGTCTCAGCAGGAGCACATTGGAACGTGGCATAGCTGCAGCTCAAAACTACTTCAGTGTTTAACTAGGACAGGTTCAGCTCATACTCACAGAAGTCACTTGGGGGGTTGTGTGTAAGGTTCCTGTAGAACTCTGTTCTGTGAGCTTTCTTTAAACCCGTGCAGAGCCCAAAATCAGAGAGCTTGACATGACCCTAAAAAACCCAAACCAATCAGAGAATAAGAAATCATTACTTAGAAAAGCAGTGCTTGGAAAAAAAAAGAGTTTTAACAACTGCACATCTTCTCAGGCCATAATGGACTTACACAGGACAACCTGAGCAGGACAAGCAGCCAAACAATGACTGATCTTGGTGTACTGGAAGAGCATATTTTGTCTCAAACAGATCAGTGCCTCACAGCAATGGCTATATCTACCATTTCCCAACAGCTAAGGGCAACTGCTTTGCCAGGTTTTCTTGTGCACTGGATACCACTGCAACTGAAAAAGCCTCCAGGACAACATCCCTTTGATTTGTTTTGATAGTAACCTTGGCTTTAATCAGGTCTCAAACATCAATGCTAGATAGAACCTATCAAACCTGACAGACCCGTGGAAGTTATGGTAATGGTCAGCCCCAGTGATCTCAGAGGTCTTTTCCAACTTAAACAATTCCATGATTCTGTGGTGCTTACTGGGCACATTTCATGGCTTGCTATGGCCAATCAGGGACTCCACTGGTGAGGGGGGAATGAAACAAATGGGAACTGTAGGAATTGAACGGATTATTTAGCCTTGTCTGGATGTTCCAGAGTTACTTCAAGATCACAGAATGCTAAGGGGTTGGAACGGACCATAAAGATCATCCAGTCCCAGCCCCTTCTGCCCTGGGCAGGGACACTTCCCACCAGAGCAGGTTGCTCAAGGCTCTATCCAACCTGGCTTTGAACACTCCCAGGGATGGAGCAGCCACAACTTCTCTAAGCAAGCTGTGCCAGGGTCTCACCACTCTCACAGGAAAAAACTTCTTCCTAATACAGTGGCCATTCTCTGCCTTTACTCCTAGTTTAAGTCACTGGTGTGACACTACTGGTTCCCACTGAGCAGTATCCCTATCTGCAGACTGAGATCTGGTAAGTGCAGGCAGTTCATGTGCACAGTACATGCCTTAGCATCCAGCAGAAGGTTATCTGGTTTAATATCCCTGTGAATAAATCCCAGCTGGTGAATGGCATCTATGGCCAACACTGTTTCTGAAATGTAGAACTGTGTCTCCTCCTCTGACAAGGTATCTTTCTTCATCAGTAAGGTCATCATGTCACCTAAGCAAGGAGAACAAAACACAGCTTAGAAATCAGGACATTTTAATCACCAGACTAATGTGGACCACAAGACTGTAAGAACCCCCACCAGAATCCAAATTTAACCTCATTACTGGCCTTATAGCTACTAATTATGAAACTATTACTGCAAGGACCTACAAACCCAACTTACTTCTCTAGTAAACTGGATGTAAAACTGCTGAAAATCCTAAATAGGAATTTTAATTGGATAGCCCAGGAAAATATAGTGAATTTTAACACACATTACATCTCTTGAACAACTGAACTGTTTGAACAATGGATTTTTGTTTGTTTGTTTTTACTGTTAATTGCATCAGCAGTAAAAAGCAAAAATTGGGATTAGAAAAACTGTTTAATTCAATTCTATTTAACACCTTTCCCTAAAAATCAGGAATGGCCACATTAGTGGAACTTCACTTAATAAAAAGTCTTCGCATTTTTCTGATAACAAATTATTCAGCATGTTTGTTTCTAACATTTTATGAAGTTCACAACAACAGTTAAGGAAGAAGTACTTGCATCACCCAGTGCCACAGCACCCAGCTTACCTCCAGGTAAGAACTCCATGATCAGGTAAAGATTCCTTTTATCCTGAAAGCTGTAAAACATTTTCACTACCCAGGCTCCATCTGCTTCCACCAAAATATCTCTCTCTGCTCGGATATGAGCCACCTGAAATTGGTTTAAAATGACTACTATTAAAGGAGAACTTAAATATTTCAATAAGGAACACCATATTATATTCCTAGTCTACAATATATTATCCTGACCTTTAGCAAAAAACTCATTTTCATGTGCTTTTCATACTCATTTTTCATGACTTTTTTACTAAATCCTACAAAGTCCTCACAAATTACCCAACAGAAACCTCCAGGACTCAGCTCAGTGTTGAAAAGAACAATTCACACAACATGGCAGAAGAAACCTAGGAACACAAAGCACAGCTTCTTAAGCTGTTTGGTTTGTTAGAAAACCTGTCAAAGCTGGTTGGAAAGTACAATTCTCTTTTTTTACTATACCCAAAAATGAAATATGATAAATAAACAAACTACAGAGCTTTAGATGGAAGTTCTCTAGTGCAAAGCTCAGACAAAAAAAATTAGTGTGCAACTCCAGGTGCAAATACAGACAAAATGATTGGAAAAAGCCAGAGCTGGTCTTGAATTCAAGAGCCAAGAGCTAAAAGGTTAAGTATATTACGATTTTGTGCTCTGGGATGATCCTGCTTGAGCAGGGAGGTGGGACCAGATGTCCCACTGTGGTCCCTTCCAACCTGACTCATTCTGTGACTCTGTGAACACTGTCAGAAGTTAACAGATTTCTCACACGTTCATACAAAACCCAAAGAGCCAATGGCTACTTCTGTACAGATATCTCACAGGCAGCAATGAGCTCGGTGGGTGGTATTAAATCACTGCAAAAATGGTGAAGGTTTTGGGCTATTTAAGGGAGCTAAGAGAAAATGGAGCTATTCTTTACTGTGAAATTCTTCCCTTGTGAGGGTGGTGAGGCACTGGCATAAGTTAACCAGAGAAGCTGTGGCTGCCACATGCCTGCTGTTCAAGGCCAAGTTGGATGAGGTTTGGAGCAACCTGGTCTGGTGGAAGGTGTCCAAGGGGGCTTGGAACCAGATGATCTTTAAGGTCCCTTCCAGCTCAACCACTCTGATTCTCTAAGTGATGTGCATGAAGCTTGCCCAGAACTGCTATGGCCACCACTGCTGCTGGTATTGGTCCTGGGCAAGTGAGTTTGGGAACATACAAATGACCTTACGCAGGTTATTCCAGTCCCAGTTGAGGCTTTGAAAAATATACATAGAGCTGTTACCCCATGAATTCCCTGGAAACTAAGAATAATGGGAACTAGAGGATGGGTCTATGTTTCGCCACAATGTACCCTCACCACGGAGGAAAATCAAAGTCATATGCATGGCAAAAATACTTCTTGACAGCTCTAAGTCAAGCAGCAAACAGACTTCTGCATCTTTTCCCCAATTTTAATTTACATGTCTGTTCTTTCCACAGGGTTTCACAGGGCAATGTTCTCTCTCTGTAGTAGACAGTCCCACTTGGATTTATCTGGCTTTACCCTCATTAGAAAATATTTCTTTCCATCCTCTACTCCTCCATGTAGCTATAAAATACAATATGAAAACCTTGCTTAGCAAAATCACCAGGATATCTCCTAGTGCTACCAGGCTTGGGGAAAAAAATACAAGAAAATTGAGATTTTTTTTGTGTGTCCCCTGTGTTGCTCTGCATGGAACAAGCCAAGTGATGAAAATTACAGCAGATAAACACTCTCCAGGGAAGATTACAGTCCCAAACTAAATGGAGAGTGTGAGCTCAGACTCCTTGCCACATCAGATGATGAAATGGGGACAGGACCACACATATCCTGGATGCAGTGCGCAACATGCTGCTCCTCTGGTTCCCCATATTCAGGGCGAGGGCTGCAGGAGACAAAGTCTGTGACAGGAAGAAGAACAATGAAGTACCACTGCAGGGAAATACACAAGGCATTGGGTAAGGTCTGGACTAATTAAAAAAACTCGTCTTTTATCTGCCCTTTCACTTGAGATATCCACTCTGGATTGCTTTGTGGTACTACAGTACTTGCTGTGTCCTCACAGGGATTTGCAGGGAATTGTTAGCTAAAAAGTAAAAGCAAAAATCTAACAAAAATCAAAGAAAAAAAACTCCCTCAAAAAAACGACAAGACAACTAAACTAAAAAGCAAAACAAAGGAAAACAAAGCCAACGAACAATGCAATATCTGCTGGTTATCTTTGAAAGCAAACATCAAATACCTCAGTTTTCACTTTGTCACATGATTATTTTTCAAGGAGCATTTTCCTTGCAGTGAAGTTTTACAGATTAAGTACTGTAAGGTCCATGTTGACAAGGGGAGAAAACTAAAATCTCTGTCACTTTTCCAAACTGGCTGTAAATAAAATATTTTTAAATGCTGTTACATGACCTTATTTCCTAACTTCTGCTTCTTGTTTTGTGCTGTGGTGGCAACTCCATAGACACTCTGAGCTTGCCAGACCATTATGGGGGTTTCAAAGATGGAAAATATGACCAAGTATCTTACACACAGAACTTAGGTAACTTTCTAGATAGAATGAGTTTGAAATCTAGGGGATTTATAAGCACAAACCTGTTCTTTCTCCAGCATATCTGCTTTCCTTAGGATCTTCATTGCATAAATGTGACCTGTATCCTTCTTCTGAACGAGGCGTACCTGCGACAGAGACATAACCCCATCAGTCTCCTCTGCAGCACAAACTACATCTCAGCATGGAACCCACTGCAAGTTCTGTGGTTAAATATTTAAAAACATGTTGAAAAAAAATAATTATTCTACACCGTGTCCAACAGTTCTTGGTTTGGGAAAAGTAAGCAGGCACAGGGAATTCCAGGTAGCTTGGGACTGTGCAGGCTAAAATTCAGGAGGGTAACAGCTGATGTGACACAGGGCAGGAAGGACATTTATGAAGAGGAGTTGTGCAGCTGCAAAGCCTTCATTTCAGGGGGCCACATGGGCAACATCCATTTGGGAAGCCATGTGTGACCAAGGGCCTTTCCAGGTGCCTTGAGAAACTGATGCACACAATTAGTTACTAGACTCATCACACTTGGAGAACTCTGCAAACTGCTGTTCTTCCGCAATAAAACTCCCCAACTGGAACTTTTTATTCTGTAATTAAAATGTTTCATTTTAATGGTCAATCCCATTTTAATTCAAGCAAGAATGACACAAACCTCCCCAAATGCTCCTCTTCCTATCACTTTCAAAGACTCAAAGTCATCCAGGCCAAGCCGAGTCCTCTTGAGCCGCAGAAACTCTGTTTCCTTGCGAGCATGTTGGGACCTGCGAAGCTTTTTCTGAGGAGAAAAGACACACAAATTTGTGAGCCGCTGGACAGGAGACAGTCAAGATATGCATCCTAGAAAGTACTTCTCTGGAATCCCAGTGGGAAAGAAGAAGTCTTGCTGATTTTCTCAATGTATGATTCACAATTATTGGTCTTTTATATAGAGGCCTAAAGCACAGTTTCAATTTTTTGGGGGGTGAGAGGGGGTGATTTCTAATTTTTATTACTTAGATATTAAAAAAGTAACAAAAGATAATGAAGAAAGAAAATTTTTTAAAAGTCACATTGGTTCAAACAAACTGTGTCAGACCAAAGCCCAAAGTCACTAGGTGAGGCAAGGGCTCTTTCTTTTGGGCAGTGTGAAGGAGCAATAAAAGCTGAAACTTGCACCCCATCAAGAAGAGTGATGGCACACAACAAGGAGCCTACCAGGCAGCAGAGGTCCAGCTTACAGCAAAATCCATTTGGTTTATGGCAGGCAAACACTCATACTTGACAGAAAAACCTGTCCCAATTCTGTCATATATTTAGTTTTATAAAAATGTCAACGGGATTCGCCCTGACTCAAGGCAAACGCCGAGCTGTGCTCCCAAAGATGCCCAGAAGACCTCAGAGACTGCTGAGGAGGTCGATGGATCAGGCCCTGCCACGTTCTGCGCTGGGATGACAACAGCCCTTGAAGCCACGAGATGGCATTACACACCCACGACAGCTTCCACACTGCCCAGGCTCGGGCTGGAAGGGACTGAGGCCGTTGCTCCTTATTTCCCTGCCTGTGCTGGAGGCAGCCGTGGTGCGATGGACCTCAGAAACACAACTTACTGACCAAAGCTCTGAGATAGCAACCAGAGATCCCTCCTCATCTGTATCCCAACAAAGTCAAGGCGTGCCCGGTTTATTCTTTAAATCAAGAAAAAATGATTCAGCATTTTGCTTTCTATCCACTTCTAGGCACATCCCACCTTTGTTTTCTTGCCAAATATGATAGCAAATAATTTTAGTCTTGGAAAAGCATGTCACAGACTTGCTGGTGGCCATGTCTCGTAACCACTTGTGGGTGGCATGAAAAGCTATTGCAAATATCTTTCAAGGATATTCACACCTTTCCTAACAAGTTTTTACAGGGCAACATTCATTTAGTGACAGGACAAGGAGCAATGGGTATAAATTGAAAGAGGGGGAAATTAGATTAAATATTAGGAAGAAATTCTTTCTGAGGGTGGTGAGACACTGGCACAGGTTGCCCAGGGAGGCTGTGACTGCCCCAACCCTGGCAGTGTTTCATTCCAGGCTGGATAAAGCCTTGAGCAACCTGCTCTGGTGGGAGGTGTCCCTGCCCAGGGCAGGGGGTTGGGGCTGAATGATCTTTAAGGTCCATTCCAATCCCTTAACATACTATGATTCTGTGATTTACAGAAATAAAACTTGCTGTCATGCTCACTGATGTTTCTGTAAGCTTCTCAACTGCCAATCTGAAGCAGTGTGACAAAAGCAAAGCAGATTGTAAGGTTACTCAAACACTATTTACCTCCTCATCTGCAAGGCCTTCCTCTTCCATAGCCACCTCCAGCTTTTTCTGCCTGTCAAGGGGAGAAACAGGGGATTGCTTTCTTTATTACTTATTAAAAAAAACATAACACCGCAGCCAAACAACACCTTGGCTTCACATATTCCAAATACTAAACAAGTTGCCTCAAATGGAAATCTGAAGGCTTGCAACCCTCTCCACCCAGTTACTCATTTGTGACCAAAGCTGTTGAAAATGTGTAAGAAAATTTAAGCACATATTTATGGATTTACAGAATTAGGCATTAAGCATAGAATAACTCTAATTACTTCCATTTATTCATACATTTTGTTGAGGTAATGCTGTTTTTATCAATTAGGATTACAAACCAGAATAACCATGGGGTTTTTCACCATTTCTATCTCAGCTCTACCACCGACGAACACCTCAGCCAGCTCCAGCTTTCACCCCAGTCCCAGTCTGGCTGCCCTCCCCCTGGTCACTCATCTGCTCCTGCTCCCCTTACTTTGATGCCAACTAACTCTACCCTCCTGGATGCACCATCCTCTCCTCCCAGTGTCCTGCCCAGGTCCCAAGGCTCCTCCAGCTGGTGCCACACCAGGTTGGGAGGCTCTGAGTGAAGCCTGGGAGTATCCCAGAGCTGCCAGGGGGTCAGCATATGGCAGTGTGGCCACTGGAGCCCTCTTTTATCACTCTCAGAATGCTTCTTTACAGCTGTCAGGGTGCATCTTTCCAAAAGCTAGCAGCAGCCAAGGATTTGAAGGCTGAGAGCCAGGCTGCTGGTGTCTTTCTGCACTTGGGGAAGTAGAGCAGGATCCCCTAAATTCAAGGCCCTCAGTAGACAGTGTATTCTCCTAACTAGAAGCAATTCCATTATATGGAATAATGACTAAATATGCTGAGGAGAGAAACCCTGTTGCTTGACTGAAAACCCCTCAATTAAAACCATATTGCCAGGGGAATGGTAATTTCACACACTAATGACAACCTGAAACACAACACTCATTATAATCAAACACTTGGTGCTCTGACACTTAATTCAAGTGGCACTTCACCACATCAGAGACAGGACTGAGAGAAGCTGAAGTGGTGATGACCAAACATATTCCCACACAGGCAGTTCTAGTCAACACCACCCAAGAAGAATTTAGAGGTGGGTATCACATTATCCCCAAAATTCTTTTTCTGCCCACCCAAGAGCTTCTCAAACCCTCCATCACCAACCCTGTGCTCTTGATTTCCACTCCAGCTCTCTGGCTCCTTTCCTCACCCCATCACCCTGTCAAATACCCATTAGTGCTGTTCCCTATCTCCTACCCACTCTCTTCTGCAGGATTTGGGAGTCTTGGCGTGAGCTCCGTGCTGCAGAGCAGGAACAGACACCACAAGCCACTGCCTTACAGAAACCCAAGCGACCACCCCTGGCAGCTCTGCAGAGTAGATTCCCTGGGGCACACATGGAGGGATCTGAGGTCACCAACCCCATACAAGAGAAACCTCACACATGCTGCAGAACAAGACCCTGCACAGAGCAGTTTCTGCAAAGCAGCTGGTGAGGAGGTAAATTGTATGAGAACATCAAAAGTGGAGGACCTTGATCACTCATTGACTGGTGCAGCAGCAGGTGACACCCACAGGTCTCCTGAAAGCATGTGCCCTCAAGGGACTCACTCCTTGCTACAGAAAAACATTCCAGAGTTGTTCCACCCATCGGGATCCAAGTGTCCTTGAACAGACACCACCAAAAGCCAGCCAAGAAAAGTTGCAGAGGGGTGATAGGGAGCAGAGCAGGTACCTGGTCTCCCTCTCCTCGTGCTGTATAATTAAGTTGCTGTAGAAGTTCTCCAGTGTAAGTTTGGCCACCGTCACTCTCTCCCGGGTGTGGTTACTCATGGGAAAGGATGTTGTAGTCCCTGCAGTCATCGCCATGGTAACATGTACTGGAACACAGCATGGCAAGTCATTACTCACTTAGAAAAGCCAAAAGTAAAAAACATTCCCCCTTCCCACTCTCCATCTCCAAATTCCTGGATGCTGCAGACTTCACAGGAAAGGCACTGCTCTTTAGATGCAACAAACTCCATTAAAAACTTGATTATGAAGCTATCCCAGGATAGCCAAGGATGTGCTACCCACTTCCTAAAAACACAACATCAAGTTGGCAAAACAAAGGGTGAATCATAGCACAGAACGCTGCAGGCTCCAGGCAGCTCTGGGCAGCTCACCCAGCTGTGCTTGTCCGCGAATAAGGAAAATCTACCTCTGGCACACTTGAGCCCATCCTGGGGGAGGGAAAAGGCAGCACAGCATAGAAAGTAAAAGGGGAAGGCAAAAGGATGACCAGGCAGCTCCCACAGCTGCACGTCACAACCCTGGGACAATTTCACACCCTAGAATAATGACTAGAAACACCCTAGAAATTCTAGGTGCTACGAAAAGACTAGGAAAAAATGAAAAAGTAAATGGATAAAACCCCTAATACAAATCCAGATAAGTTGTTTCAAGGATAAATATAACCATCAAATATCTTCGAATTTTAAAGCTGCTCAACAAAGTTTCTAGAAATAATCACATCAAAATAATGGATTTGCTGCATTTTAAATGGAAAACTACTGTTGCTTTTTTTTTGTTAGTTGGACATTCTAAAGCAACAACCAATGCCCAACAACAGAAAACCTTTCCCCAACACAAGGGCATTGAGCAACCATTAGTCTTTCAGTGTGTTTTACTTCCAAGCACCTCTGTGCCACCAGCTGTTCACTGCAGAGCTCCCTGTGTTCGGGTGCTCAAATTCTAGAGGGAATTTTCTTAGGCAGCTGTAAATACTTGACCCATGTAGATAAAGTACTTAGAGGTTAGGGCAAAGTGGTCACTGGGCATTGAAAAACTGTGAAGAAAGAGGAAAGAAGACGGGCTGTTCTCCTCAGTAGCTGTTATGCTGACCCCAAAGAACCTGAATGCACTGGAATCAGACTTTTAATGCTGCAGAAAGACATCTCAGGGCAGCCCTGAGTGCTCTGCAGCTGGTGCAGGGAAGTCAGGAAGATAAAGCACAGTTTGTCCTAGGATTCATGCCCTACCTGGGAGTGGGTTGAGGCACTTCAGGAGAACCTCATGGAGGAGAGCCATGAATAGCAGCAGCTCAGCCCCACATGTGTTAGTTCAAGTTGGTTTGGGGTTGGTTTTGGAAAATTACACAGAAGTACATATAGAATCACAGAATGGTTTGGGCTGGAAGGGACCTTAGAGATCATCTAGTTCCAATCCCCTGTCCTGGGCAGGGACACCTCCCACTGGATCAGGTTGCTCAGAACTCCATCCAGCCTGACCTTGAACACTTCCAGGAATGGATCATCCACAGCTTCTCTGGGCAACCTGTTCCAGTGCCTCACCACCCTTACAGGAAAGAATTTCTTCCAAATAGTTAGATCTCTGTCAGTGTGAAGCCATTCCCCCTTGTCCTGGCACTCTAGGTAGTCTCTCTCCATCTTCCTTGCAGGTCCCTTCAGGCACTGTCCTTTTTGCTATTTACATAATCCTACTGTTTCACCAGGGGATTGTGAGGAAGACAAATACCGAATTAGGCTTATGATAGTCAAGCAGATCCTAATACCTTTTAAGGAGAACTGCTTAGAAGTTTCATCCAGAAGAAAACTTACACGTTTACATCACGGCAGGAGGATTGCTGAACTCTGCTCTGGGGTTTTGTGTTTCACAGAGTATTTAGAGTTGGAAAGGACCCACAAAGATCATCAAGTCCAACTCCAGGCCCTGCACAGGACACCCCAACAATTCCACCATGTGCCTGAGAGCATTGTCCAAATGCTCCTTGGGCTCTGTCAGGCTGTGACCACTGTCCTGGAGAACTGTTCCAGTGCCCAAAAGGATTTTGATTCTGCCTGCTCCTCTCTGCACGGAGGGCATTTTATCCTGTGGATTTTTCACTGGATTTGATGTGACAATAGGATATTTGTTGCCACAAACACAGCTGCTGTGTCACAAATAAAGGAGTTTTATAGCATTATGTAGCTATTATTTTAGCTCTGCATTTTGTAGCACCGAGTTCTAAGAATAAAAATGTCTATATCCATCTACAAAGAGGTTTTAATAGCACAACAGCTGTTTCAAAATGATGTCAATATTTCTATTTTTTAATCAATCTTTCATCCCCTTCAGTTTCCTGCTAAAGAAAGACGAGAGTTGTCAATTCTTAATAGTCTTGACTAAAAATTTGAGGGTTCTATTCTTCCCACACAGACATACCTCACACTGGATATGCCCCCAGAACCCAAGGAAATATAGCACTGGTCTCCCTGTTGTACAGTTTTACACTTTTTCCCTTGATAGGTGGGAAAAGATAAATATAAAACCAGTATATTAGAGCAAGGCTGACAATGTGTTGACATCTCCAAATCAAACAGAGCAACTGCTGACCAGACACTGGTGTCTGGGATCAGGGTGTTTCAAGACATGACCTAACAGAGTAAAAAACAGCCTTCTGATAATTTTGTACCATCAGGATAGAGAGGCATTAATCCAGGCTTGAAATGGATTAAGCTTTACTTAAGGTATAAGGAGCACACTCCAGCACTGGGCATTTATCCTTTGCACATCCTGTATTCCTGGTAGGATAAGACACCACTGCAGTTTGATTTCCTGTAGTTTGCTTTCCCCATGCTCCTACACTCAATACAGACACTACTAGAGAGCAAATCTAAGTCACTTGGCTTATGAAGCCTGTAAGGAGGAGATAACAGTTCTGGCAGTAGCACAGCACTCCATAAACAGTGGGTCTGACCCTCACTGCGCTTCTACAGGAGAAGAACACAGGCCAGAACACAACCCATGGAACAGTGAGCTCAGAAACAGCTGTTTGCCAGAGAAGACACTTGTACTGACTTCACCATACCACGATGTCATCTCAGCACAGTGGGAAGGACACAGCACCCCAAGTGTTTGCTTCCAGCACCCACCCCGGGCACACCCCTCCGGCCCTGCTGCCAGCCCACACTGTGCCACAGCACATGTCATAAAGTACAGTTTACTTCCTATCTGCTCAGTTGGTGTCCCCAGTTAGCCCTGGTACCAAAACACCATAATAAAAAAAATAAAAAAAAAAAAATCTATAAAACTGAAGAAATGCCCTAAACTCTCCAGATTCCCCAGATGAAGTAGAAAAGAGCACAGACCTGGCAAGAGGCACAAGGTATCCTGCAAAATCCTGTGTGAACTCACAGCCCAGGAATCCTCTTCAGCCTTTTTCCTCCTGCCTCTGTTTCCACTAACAAACCCTCAGAGCATAAATCCACATACCAAATATTTGGTTAAGAATAACCAAGTCCAGTCCTTAAGCTTGACCTTTATAAACAAATTATGCCAGAGGGGATGAGGGTGGGAAGGAAGAAGCTTCCAAATAGGACCTTTTATTGACAGGACACTGCTCGTACTGACCTCACCACAATAACGGGAATGTTCTGGAAAGGAGCCACCCAGAGTTCCTGGAACTGCCCTCAAAAGCCTTCACCCAAACCCATGCCATTTGCATAGGGGAACCATCACACTCCTGCTGCATCACCACCCTTGCCTTTGACTCCCTGGATCACAAAGAAGGTCACACTCAACCAGTCAGCCCCATCTGGCCTAAATTCCTCAGGCTGACAGGGATCAAAGACCTCTCTTTGCAAAGGGGTTGGTCCATCCCTGGCTGTGAGTGAGAGAGACATCAAACCAACCTAAAATGGACAGGAGACACAGAGCAGCACAGCACAGCCCACAGGACAATGCCTCAGAGCTGCCAGGAGCAGAGATGCCATATGTGCTGCCTGGCCCAGATCCCAAGCTGGGGCCTCCTGGATGGATGGCTGAACTCCCAACTAGAGCCTTTGTCCTGAAGCCTGTTTGGCTCCATGGCAAGGACCTACAGCACAGAGATGAGGAGCCACAGTTGTGCAGCAGCCAGGGAAAATCTTGCCCTCAGAGGCAGGTGGGACAGCAGCACAGAGAGGAGGAGATGAAGGATGTTCCTGATGGAGGAGGGAGAGCAGGGAACAGCAGCAGAAAGGGAAAAGCAGGCCAAATGCTAACAAACCAAAAGGCAGGTTGGCTAAAGCCTTGAGCCATCTGGTCTAGTGGGAGGTGTCCCTGCCCATGGCAGGGGGTTGGGACTAGATGATCTGTAAGGTCCATTCCAACCCAAACCATTTTATGACTCTATGAGACTAGAGTTTTCAAGAGATGCCTCTAAGCAAGTCTCTCCTGATCCACCATAGAACATTTCAGTTGGAAAGATCCTCTCCTTCATGGTAGGAAAATATTGCCTAATCAAAGCATACACTTGACCTTTTTATTTCCAGATCTTTCCTGACTGGGAAGCAGAGAAAGGCCAAGCAGCATTTAGTACAACTCAATCTGCACTCCCATTTGTCACAACAGCTCTAAGTCAAGCTCTTGATCTGTTTTCCTGGAGGAGATTCCATGTTTAAAACCCCACATGCAGCTCCTGCTGCACCTCTGGCACCTCAAAACCCACATCCTGTCTGGGGCACTTCTTGGCAGCTCCCACAGCCTGTCATTCACGTTTTCATTAGACTATAGGATTAAGACTCTGGTTAATGATAGCAAAATCACTGAGGCATCCCATCCCACCTGCTGCAACAACTCAGGAGAGGAGAGATGGAAGAAATCAAAGCACACAGAGAACTGATCTCCCCTGAAACACAGAGCTTTGTGGGATCACTTCCTAATCAGGAAGGATAAGAACACAGAATTCAGGCCTCCTGCATGTGGTCTCCAGCCTTCACAGCTCTATTTCAGGACACTCAGGATGCCTGAAGGTGAGGGCGAGCACAGAGTTTGGCAACAAGGAAGGACGGAGGTGTGACACCCTATTTATACATATCCAGGTAGCTCTAGACTAAAGACAAAAGGATAACAAGGGATGAAATGAATCCTGGCACACAAATGCTACAAAATAAAAAAAAATTCATTTTAATACACCATATCATACTTTCCAGCCTGTAAAAGGGAACAACAGAGCAGGGATATGGAGTAGAGAGCATAATCTTAACACTTGACATCACCAAACATTTGAACTGTATGTTGAAGCTTCAAATACTTTGATAGGCAAAAGAAAAGCACTAAGCAACAAAACACTCCAAAAACAACACATCAGCTCCCCCCAAAGCAGGTAAGTTCATAGTTTCAGATCCTTCTAACATACTCTTCCAACTTCACCATGTAGTTTTTAACTAATTTTTCACTAAAGTGAGAAAATAAATGCGTAAGAGTATGCTACAAGCAGTGAAAACTGAAAACAATCTTTCCAGCTATCTTATTTGCTTTCTCTCATATGATTTATGCACCAAGCACACAGCCCAGCAGTTAGGAAGGCAGTTTGCTGTTGCAGTAAACAGGGTAAAACTGCAAAGTTCTTGAAGTTTCCATTCACATTCCAAGGGAATTTGGCTCTTGAATGAAAGCCTTTGGATAAGGCAGATACTGAAATATATTTCTCCCTTTCAAAATTTCCTTTTTTTCAGCGTGACATTGAACTCGCCCCTGAACTAAAGTACACAAATGGCATTTTTTCAAGAATCAGAAGGCAAAACAGACAGGAAAGAAAGGCTTAGGGTGCCAGACCTGTTCCAAAGTAAACACAGAGCTCAGCAAAGCAGGTACCTTCAGGAACACCAGCTGTGTGCAGGGCTGGGGCTCTTCTGGGTGAGAAGAGTCTGCAAGAGAAGACTTAGTAATGCTTCTTGGCTCCTTCCAGACACCACAGCACAGCAACTCACCAACCAGGCCACTAAACCCCACTGCTGACAATGATTATATTTAAAAAATGAAGTGCTGTCTAGGAAAGCAGCATGGATACAGCAAGGCTTCAAGTATGAGTGCCAGCCCTGCTGTCTCCAAATGGTCTGAAGCCTCCTAAAGAGAGACAGGATATATATATAACAGAAAAAAACCCAACCCAGTATACACAAATAACAGCATGATTCACACCAAAAGGCAGTAAGCAGGGACAGATAAATGAAATAAACAGCCAAAGGCTCAGCAGGATGAAGTGGTGTGACATAACCTGAGCAAGTTCTGAAAGGCACAGCCATAAGTCCTAGGAGCCAACACACACACATAGCAAAGATGAAAAGGTTGTACAGCAGCTGATATTTCCAGGGATGAAACAGAAGGAGAAAGTGGTTATACTGTGGGATCAGCCCAGGGGGAAAATGACTTTCTGCACTACAGTTTCTGCTAGCACAAAGCTGGCCACTGTGCTGCACATATTTCACCATTCAACTGTTTACACTGAACCTCCTGGGTTGGAAGGCACCTTAAAGATCATTTAGTTCCAACCCCCCTGCATGGGCAGGGACACTTCCCACAAATCAGGTTGCTCAAAGCCACATCCAACCTGGCCCCAGGGATGGGGCAGCCACAGCTTCTCTGGGCAACTTGTGCCAGTGCCTCAGCAGCCTCACAGGGAAGAATTTCCTCCTAATCTAAATCCAATCTCAACCTACTCTCTGTCAGTGTGAAGCCATTCCCTCTTGTCCTGTCACTCCAGGCCCCTGTAAATAGTCTCTCCCCACCTTTCTTGTAGACTCCCTTCAAGTACTGGAAGGCTGCAATTAGGTCACTCTGAAGCCTTCTCTTCTCTAGGCTGAACAATCCCAATTCTTTCAGCCTTCCCTCATAGGAGAGGTGCTCCATCCCTCTAACCATCTTGGTGTCCCTCTGGACTCACTTCAACAGGTCCATGTCCTTCCTGTACTGGGACCCCAGAGCTGGATGCAGCACTCCAGGTGGGAGCAGAGGGGGCAGGATCCCCTCCCCAGCCCTGCCACCCACACTGCTTTGGATGCAGCCCAGGACACAGTTGGCTTTCTGCCTTCTTTTCTTATAACCCACTTTAAATGCACTTCCAAAGTTTTTGATTAACCCACAGAAAATACACAGGACCCTGAAGTCTCCAAGCAGCAAGCCAACAAGAAAACCCTGTCGCTCCCATCCAGCATTTCCCAACTCTTGGAGCCTGATTTTAATACTTGTGTTATTACTTAATACAGCTTTCTGTGTTCAGAACAGAACCTTGCCCAACGTTCACTCATATCAATAAAAAATCCCTTCAGCTTGAAAGTTTTCGACCTAATATTCGTATTCTAGCCTTGGGATGATGCTAACTGCTGTTACTGAACTCATAGTTATCAGATCAGCATCTTTGCCAAGCACTGCTCTGGGTATGTTTTAGAAAGAAAAAATAAATATTACAATCCTTAATAATTCACTTTTTTCAGTAGGATCACCATTCACAAGCCCCTACTTTATTTAATCTGCTACCTTAGGGAAGCAACATTTCCTGCCAAGTAAAACATACCAGATAGCTCACATGCAGATTCTTCAACATTATTACCATGATCAGGCCCTTCTGACACCCTCCAGTTTTTTCCGGCATTCCCCTCTGAGAAGGGAAAATGAAATAAGACTGAAACAAGGCATCACTGACACTTCAGCGTTTCATTTACCTCATTTATATACTTCATCTCCTTTAGCTTGTTACTCATTCCCCAACGTGCATTATGTTTGAGTCTTACTACTTTAAAATCACAGAATGAATTATGGCTCTTCTATTTCGAGCAGCACTAAGAAACTAAGTAAAATTAGCCCAGTCAGAACAGGCTTTGCTATTTAAAAGCAAAAGATGCTCAAATGTTTTAGCCATTTAAAGTCATTCCTG